TTTCAAAACACAAGCAATGCTCATTGAATTCATCAGCCAGTTGATTGGTAGATTGGTAGAATAGTCCTTTACCCGTTTTCTCTGTCTTTACTAGTAATGTTTGTGGTATACTTTACATTTTGAATGCCTCGATCTTGCACTTCATCTCAAAGTACTTTCTTGTACCTTTTGTATAGTTTGTTCCAATTAATCCTTCCTTTGTTACATTTGGGTTTATTGTGCTTTTCTTTGTCGTGAAACGTGTGATACCGTATCCCTTGTTCATCGAAAGATAATTGGTACGTTGCATTATTCCTGTGGGAGCTTTCTGATTACTCAGTAAGAACAGTGGGAAACTTTCCGCATAGACGATCACGAAGGTGTCATAAATGGGAGTCTGGCGCGACGCTCGAAGAAGACATGGTCGTTTATATTTGTGTGCTTAATGTAATGTAGTACTGCTATTTATTTGCTGTGTCCAACCATTAATTGGTATAATCATGCATTTGTGTATATGCTGAAAAATCGAGTTCCGTTGTGACTCCATTCAAGTAGTAAACTTTCAGTTTGAAGATAGGTTTAGTTCGCTGTGCTGTAGAGGGTTTTAATATTCTCCATATGCATTTTGGTTCTCCTAAGCGTATAGCTAGCATAACCGAGAAATTTGTTGATGCTACCAGGAAGCAAACGACTAGTCGGCAGACGCCGTTCATATAAAATCGTTCCTTCTGGCGACGGATGCGGTGTGGCGATGTCGATGTGATGCGAGAATTTTCCGCAGAGGATAGAAGGCATCGACGCTATCATTTATAACAACAGCGATCCTTCGTGTGACGTTGTTTAAATATTGTTGATTTGATCAAGAGCAAGCAGAAACAGCCATTTGAAGGAAGACAAGAATCGGCATAATTCTTGTTCATTGCTTGCTTCAATGTCAACTGGCAGAAAACCAGTTTTGGATGCGAAGTGTGCGGCTGCTTACTCCAGACTTCGAATGAACCACGGGTATACAGATTATTCAGTGATTAGACGGGCTCAATGTTGCAGCTCGACGAGAGAGACTTCGGGACAGTTGCTCCGAACTCTGTCAAGGATGCCGTTGCCTGTTGTGTTGAATTGCATCAAGTCTATGTACTAGTACAATCAAAATCAGACAGTCAGTTGTGATGAAAATCGCCTGATGAAATAGCGTCTTTTACGGCTGACAGTAAGAAGACAGAAAAGAAATTTGAGAATTTTTCCAAAAACTCAACGTCACAGTCGGTTGTAAAGTAGACATTGCCTACCATAACATTTTTGCAGCGTAGCAGGAATCTTTTTTGAAAGAAATATTCTCTTCCGTGTAAATTAAAAGCTAAATTTACTGCAGGATTGGCGGAGCTTTTCTGTCGCACGAAGATGATAATACCACCACCGTGTTTATCAGTGGAAGACTGGTCAAGTTTGTACGGTACGAAGCCAGGCAGAAAAATGGCGGAATCGTTGCATTGCCACGACTCTTGGAATAACAGCACTGAAACGTTCGTGAACTGCTCCATTAAAAGCAAAGACTCGTTTCAATTTCAGTTATTTTATTCCGAAGCGAACGAACGTTTGAAAAATGACGTATGGGAATAGGAGATTACTCAGATTTGTATTCTGAGTAAAATATTGCCATTCTG